GAATACAAATGTACGAACATATGTTCGCGCCAAAGAAAGGCGGCAGTCTATGTAATAATAAAAGTAAACGGTATATTACACTTGTCAGGGGTTAATCCCATCAACCACTGAAATGGACATTTGAATACAAATTCGAAATGTTGCTATCAACTAGACAATACTTTGACGGTTCAACATAATGGACAAGCAGTAGAATACACCTAGCACTTAAAAAAACCTCACACATTGCAAAGCGCAAAAAAAAGGCCAACGTACCTCACACGTAGACAAACAGCTAACAGTGTCTGCTTCAGGACAGCGGATGCCATCTTTTGTCTTTTGAAAAGAAGAGGAAGATGGATCTTGGGCTGCATCTAAGTCAACAACTACAGAAGGCGAACTTGGGCATCCTCCGCCATTTGCAGATGATTTGTTGACCGAACTGTCATCTGGCCCGTCGACGATAATTACTTGCACGGGACACTGGCTATCGCTAGCGCCCGCATTCGCATGTGCCTGCTCGCTCCAACCTCTCTGACGTCCACCACCAACGGAGACTAAGCGAAGACCAGGCCATTCACTTTCTTCTTTTCTCGCTCGTTTGCTGGCATTTGCTGGTGAATTCGCATGTGTTCTCTTATTCTCAACTTCTCTCTCACATCCGCTACCAGAGGCGGGTCCGCTCACGCCACACCGTCCACTTTCTTCTTTTCTCGCTCGTTTGCTGGCAATTGCTGTTGAATTCGCATGTCTTCTCTCATTCTCACCTTCTCTCTGACATCCGCTACCACAGGCGGGTCCGCTTACGCCACACCGTCCGCTTTCTTCATTTCTAGCTAGTTTGCTGGCAGTTGCTGGTGAATTCGCACGTGTCTGCTCACTTTCACTTTCTCTGTGACATCCACTACATGACAAATATTATAAGGGAAAGTTATATTAAGGCGAGATTATAACAATAACAAAAACTTCAACTAAAATAACTCCGACAGCAATATTATCAAGGAGAGTACTAAACATTTCTACTAATAATAATATAGAAAAATATAATGATAATGATAATGAT